GGATCAGTACGATGACCTGGTCGGCACCTCATAAAAACGTAAGGATCGGTGTCGGCCAGGATCAGTACGATGACCTGGCCGACACCTCATAAAAACGTAAGGATCGGTGTCGGCCAGGATCAGTACGATGACCTGGTCGACACTTCACAAAAACTTAAGGATCGGTGTCAGCCAGGATCAGTACGATGACCTGGTCGGCGCCTCATATAAACGAGCTCAAGCGCGAAGCTCGACAAGGCCAAACCGCAATCCGACTCGGACAGATAACGCGCCCCCATGAGTAATAAACAAGCACCGAGCTCAACCATATAGCTCGGCCCCGTGAGTAATAAGCGTCGAGCTCAATTGTGAAGCTCGGACGAATAATGCGCCACCGTAATCAGTGTGATAAATAGCACAAGTCGGGCTCGACAAAGGGGCCCGGGTAGGCCAAAGCGCTCTAAAACTAAAAACCGAACGCCAAACGCAGTTCGGCCGAACAAAGCATGTGACAAGGTGCTCTCATTTGACAAACATTCGTCACATGCATTCATCATGCATTCACATGCATTCATCATACGTTCACGCATTCCTCATATGCTCCCATTATGCATACAACTTCGTAACAAATAAAGAGCTCAAAGCTCACACATAGAGCTCAAAGCTCACACATAGAGCTTAAAGCTCAATCAAACAAAGAGCGCTCTAAGCTCACTCATGCCGACAATTCAAAATGCATTCATGCATAAAAACGATTACTGAATTACCAGACCAGACCGCCCTGGTCCCATCCAATAGCAAATTCGCAAAAATAGCCCATTCGGTCAAAACCGATTCCACTCATCAAAGATCAAGCCATGATTATCATCGTCACGTCAGGCCAAAGCCTAAAAAGATCAACAAGACGCTCAAGGGTCCCAAAGCACCTTAAAATTGCGTACTGAATCGTAATAAAATCATCATTTTTCGCCAAAAACTGACAAGATAAAAAGTGATCTCATGAATCACGCGAAAATTATCCGCCACTCGCGCTCGTCTACCTATTTGCGATTCTACCAATATCCCTCATTACGCGATATCCTAACACAATAAAAAAAGCCCGAAGCTCAAGATATCTTGAGGTAAAAACATTGCCAAATTGTAAAGATTCAACGCGACTTCAGAACAGTTCAATCAAGAACATGTCCTAAACTCGGGGGCCTCCTGTTGATACCCAATTTGGCTCCTATTAATTAAATGATAAACGAAATAATAAAATACGGCTACATGACCAAAGAACCGAAAATATGTAATAAATAAATATACAAGCAGGTTCTCGAGACTGATAAAACCAAAAGCCGCCAGAAGTCATAAGCGGGCCCCACGATGGTTATCTCACGTTAAATAGTGATGTATCATTTTTACTTATTTTATTTGACCACTTGTAAGAAAAAGGGTCATGTATAAATATGTGTAAAGAAGAGAGAGAAGGGGGGCTTCTTCTCATTTTTTCCATCTCTTCCAACAACAAAATGGAGATTTCTCTCCAAAATAAAAAAACAGACATTCATTCTCATTACATTTTGGTCTTCACTTTTCCTACAAAAATCGACTATTATTTAACCGTTGATCGTCCGATTTTCGACATCAACAGTAATGTTTTTCAATATTTCAATAAGTAAACCGTGATTTATTATAGTCTTTAATGTTAATCTTGTAGTGCTAATCGAAAAATTAAATATATATATATACTAATATATTGACATACATAAAATTAAGGATAAATATATGATAATTATTACTTTAAAAAATATATTATTTAAATTGACTTTAATTCACGTATAAATATTAAGGAATATCTGAACAGACATATATATAGTCTCGTATCATTTTCGCTACATAACACAAATAAACAAATAAACAAAATATACATAACACAAAATGAAGGCAAAATAAGTAAAAGGACTAAACTGCATATACACAAAACATTTTGCGTTCATGAACAGTAAAAACGCAAATTTGCGTTTGTAGCAGGGACAAACACACCAAATACCCATTTTGAGTTTGCGTTTAGCGATCGGTTGGAGCAAATTTGAGTTTGCGTTTGCGTTTTTGGCATCGGTTGAAGATGCTCTTATAAAATATCGTTTCTTTTTCAGTATTCTCTCTCCCACTCTCATCCCCAAATATTCGTCCATGTCAAACCCACTTTCCTCCCTCCGCAGTCATTTCATCAAACACATAACGTGCCACAATCCCTCCGCCGCTTTCTTCTCCGTTCGCCGCCGCATCGGTTCTCCCCAACCGCGCTGCCGCTTCACATTCGTCCCCTCACCCAACGCGGCCCGTGAAAGCCATTTATCGAGGTTCAATACCGCCGTCTCTAGTTATTCCACACTGCCATCGAGCAATGGCGTCACCGACGCTGCGTACACTTCGCCGTACCTCTCAGTCCGCATTTCCTGCCCCAGACGAGTTGCTGTAAGGACGAAGTTGCAATTTCTTCTTATCCAGATTGGTAGTTGGTGTGTGTTTTGTGTGATTAAGATCTTCATAGTTCCGTTTTGGATAACAGGACATGCTTTCGGAGTCTCTTCTGTGTTTTGGAGCTACCTCAACCACCGTTGACGAGCAAGATGATCACGGGGATGATGAAAAGGCAAAACTTTCCCACATTACAAGCTGAATTTTCCTTTTTTCATTTTTTGTAAATCCAGAATGATACTTGTTTAACTGAACGAGCCGCTCGTGAGCTAGACTCGGCTCTTTGTGGCTAAAATATAGGGATTTTGTTGTAGTTTTCTATAGCCCGACTCGAATTCAGCTTGTTAGGGCTCGAGCTCTGCTTGTTAATATTGATAAATAAGTCGAGCTTTGTTTGCTCGGCTTGATAAAGGCCCGAGCTGGAGGTTGAGTATCATGAGCTCGAACTAGACTCAACTAGTTTACACTTCTATTTTTTTGTGCTTGTTTCATAATATATTTAGTATCAGTGATCTACCAGTTCTGTGTTAGTATGTATGGTTTGATTAACTATATCAAAAGAACAATCTTTTGAGGATGGAAGATGGAAACATGGGGAGTTTATTCTCTCATGAAGATAGTTGATAAATCAAAACTAGCAAACAGTTGAGTGTGAAGTTTGAAATTTTAATATTTTGTGTGTGTGTGTGTATAACATAATTTATTGGAATCAAGAATTTATGATGAGCCGTTTCTTTTGGGAGGGGGGTTCTATGATCCAAGCTTCGAAAGATCTTAACTGGCTCGAATGATTGCTAACTAAAGGAAATATATCATGCACAGATATGGATCAGTTCTACTTTCAATATCAGCCAGGATGTGAAAGACTGCGTTGATAGAGCTTCGGATTCAGTTGGGCTGAAAGAGTTACCGATTTACAAAGTCGAAATGCATGACCACACTGATTGGATCAAACAAACTCAGGTGCCATAGTTTCAATAGTTTGGTCCATAGATCTCAAAATTTATAACATGAACAGAAGTTTTCAAGTCGTTGATTTTGCTAATTATATATACTATATATTGTCATTCCCGGAATACGTGAAATCCAGGAATCTTTTCATCCGGTGGAAATTAAGGAAGGACTTTGGATTGTGCCTGAATGGAGGAATCCCCCTGTAAGATTACGTTTATCAAGTGTTTATTAAAATCCTCGTTGTATTAGCTATTTGTGTTAATACTTGGTTTTACAGGATCTTGAAGCAATAAACATAATTTTGAATCCTGGTTTGGCATTTGGAACTGGTGAACACCCTACAACAAAATTGTGTTTATTGCTACTTCATCGGGTAATAAAAGGAGGAGAAAAATTTCTCGATTATGGTACAGGATCGGGTGTTCTCGCTATAGCGGCACTGAAGGTACTTTAGAAGTTCATTAGAATTATAGGATAGTGTGTGTATAATGTGGAGCGACCCAAATTTCCAATGTAATTGAGGCAAACGAAAATATGACAGAGATAAAAGTTTTGAACCGACTTTTTCGACAAAAGAACGAAAATTTCGATAAATACAATACTACTTATAGATATGAGAGATGTAAATGTGATGATTAATGCGTAATTGGTTTATTTCAAGTTCTTCGTTTTCAATTTTAATGCACTCTTTCTGACTTAAAAGTACTATAGTTCGGGGCCGAACTTTCAGTTGGATTCGACATAGAGCCCCAGGCGATTATATCAGCCCGACATAATGCTGCTCTGAACAACATAGAACCAAACAAATTGCTCCTGAATATTGTCCCCACCAAGAACGGTCCTAACTTCGAGAGTGAATGTCCAGTCGAGCAAAATCCATACAATCCGAAGATTATTGCCGAGAAAGAAAAATATGATGTTGTTATAGCTAATATATTATTATACCCACTGCTCGACTTGGCTGAACGTATAGTCTCGTATGGAAAACCCGAAGCCACAATTGGCGTTTCTGGGATAATAGCCGAGCAGGTAGGTATACATGTAAATGCATTTTCTCATGTGGTTTTATACTTCTATTGCCATTTTCAAGAATTTTTTTACGACTTAAAAGGGACTTTTTTTTATATTATATTACAGGTTCCGATTGTGATAGAACGCTATTCGCAGTTCCTGGAGAATATCGATGTGAAGATGATGGATGATTGGGCTTGCATAAGTGGGACAAAAAAGACAAATGCAGCATGCATTACTAGTTAAATCTGCAAGAGTCTGATATGTTGCTTTTTTTTGTCACATTTTGTTGTATTTTGAGTCAGTATAGTAGAAAGCTTGGTATGCCTTTTGTGGTGCATCCATATTGCCATTTAATTAGAAAGGGCAGCAGTGTTAATGGATTAACTTACAGTAACACTTCAATCTTTCAGTTAAAATACAGTCACTCTTGCTAGCCTTTGCTAAATGAAGATTTTCACACAGTGCAACAGATTCAAATGAAGATATATAAAAAGTCAACAATGAATTGGAAAATCATAAGAAGTAGACAATTCCCAGAAGTCTACTTGATTATAAAACTCGAAAGTTAATACAATACATTTAACTGGAGCTTTCATGTAACTCAAGTTTCAACTGACAAAGAAAGTATGAAGTCCGGAATGACCGAGCAACAACAAACTCCAAAAATATCGTCATGAAACCCTCAAGGTCAAACTTGAATTCAGTCGCTCGAATGAATCTACGAGACAAGCCCGTGGATTGCATTTTCCCCACAATTAAAATTCAAGGACCTTCTATTTGAAGCCAGAAATTTCCCAATTGAATCGAGAATGCAAGTCCTGTAAGATTAACGTTTGAGTTGCCTCCTGGCCAGTGCAGGGGCTTTCTTTGGGATGTAAACCTTATAGCTCACCTGAAAAAAGATCCACAAATGACACAATGCCAATATATATATGTGTGTGTTTGTGTGTGTGTGTGTGTGTTATGAAATACCAATTCCATTTATCATTTTTTTCTTTAAAGAAAATCACAATCACCAATATAAAACATTAAATCCACATAAGACTCTTACCTGTACCATTTCCCCTCCCCTCATCACAGACATCGTTTTCTGTTCAAAAGAACCATCCTTAGCTTCATTTTCTCTCTCTAACTTATGCTCCCCAACAGAAGAAGAAGATGGTTTTGAGTTTGAATTAATGCCAGCACGTGTAGTCTCGGTTCCCGGACAAGTGTCAACTCGTGAAACAGTTCTATTCAGGCTAGCATCAGAATTCATGTATTTGTCCTCATTTAGCTGCTCGGCAGTATGTATGATTATTCCATGTTCTTTCTCGACAGTTTCACTATCCAGGAGACTCTTAGCATCTGTTATCTGAGAAAGATCACTTTTTTGTGAGGGCCCGCTACTCTGGTTCATTTTTTGAAGATCAGAGCTAACCGTTGTTACATCTGGCAGCATTTTCTCATTACTCTTTTCATTCATTTCCAAATTCAAGCTTGTTTGACCTGTTGTTTGAAGCCTCCCTTTGAACTTCTTCAGATTTTCCAAAGCTCTTTGCCTCAAAATCGATTCAAGAACAGACTTATCGTCGACCTCTTTCCCCTTATCAGCATTATGCATATCCACGGCTTCCATCTGACGATCACCATCTTTTACACCAATCATCTTACTCGAACTACCGTGAGATTGATCACCAAGCTCCATTTTAGTTCCCTCTTCATTACTGTCTGGACTTTTGAGGGAAGGGTAACCATTTTGGTCATACACAATCTCTTCTTCATGTGGGTTCATGGCCCATCTGCTTTTCTCCACTTCTTCTTCATCATTATACCTATGATCGGCAAAAGCAATAACTGACTTCAGCCGTCTAGGATTATTAATCACCGGCGATAATGCCACATCATCATGTCCAGCACTCACACTATATTTACTACCTCTGTCAAGTTTTTCACGATCCTCATAAGAATTTCTACCTCTAAACCTTTCTCTTTCTTTTTCAGTAACCATTTTACTCGTTTTTGGCTCCCTATCTGCTGAACTGCTGCTGCTAGTACTCTGGCAGGTAGAGCAGCTCTCAGAATCGGAACCTGAATAATCGCTGATATATTTACGGGCCTTCTTCTTTGATGATCTAACTTTGGGTTTACCAGAATCATCTCTACCCGATCTTTTCCGTTTTCTCCCACTGCGTGTGGACTTTTTCCGATCTAATTTTTTTGCGCTCTTAACTATAACCTGTGATCGTCTGGCCTTCTTACGCCTATAACCTCTCGATGAGGAATCAGAATCTGAACTCACAGATCGATCCCTGTATGAAGGTGAGGATGACGTTGAGTGGCCACTCGAAAGCTTCTTCTTCTTGCGTATTTTCTTTTTATGTTCGGATTTCGATGTGGGTTCTGGGCTTAATGATTCATCATTGGAGTATGAGGAATCCGAATCGTAAGCACGCTTTTGCTTCTTTCTTCGGCTCTTCTTCTGCAAAAAAGATTATAGTAAAACACAACCCATTTTAGCAATTCTAAAATCAGTTGAATGCAAACCCATCAGAGCAAAAGTTCAATATACTTGCAATCACTAACCAATAGAGGGAGAGGGAGAGAGAGAGAGAGAGAGAGAGAGAGAGAGAGAGAGTTTAAAATAACTACATTGCTCCAAAGGTTCAATTATTATAACAGTACTTCCCACAAACTAGCCCAGATCGCAAAAGCCATGAAATTATTCAACCACTCTGACAAGAAGATAAGAATTACGAACACAGAATTAAACATCGAAATAACACATAAATTTAGGGAAAAAAAACAAGATTAAAAAGCAAAGCAAACACGAATCGCGAGCTGAGAAAAAGGGGAAAGAACCTGAGAGGAAGTGTTGTCGCGTTTCCTCTTTGACGATTTCCGTTTGGAGGAAGAAGAACCCTCACCCGCCATTAAATATGGTGATTCGAAAAATTAACAGCTACAAATCTCGCAGGTGGAATTCATGAGAGCGATGAGAAACGCAGTTATCTTTCTTTCTGAAATCTTCACAATGTTGGGACTCTTGTTTTAAAGTAATGAAATTCCTAGCGATAAAAAGATAGCGTTAAATTGCACTTTCAGTCCCCTAAATCTTACTAATTGCAAATATAGCTCTATGGGGACTCATTTTGTTTTTGACAGTTCTTAAGATTAATCCTAAAAGCTTGAGGAAAAACGATTTAATTGTATAATTCTGTAGAGTATTTTTTTGATGGAATCTCAGCTCTCCTCCGTATTCTTAAGATTAATGATAAAAGCTTGGGAAAAACGAAAAAGCGATTTAAGTGAGCTATAAATTAGGGCTCACATAATCAATTGAATCGTAATTGAAATTTAAAAATAGTATAATAATTTCTTTTCTTTCTTAAATAAAGCTTAAATAAAATAAAGTTAAAAAATTCTCTAACTTTTCAAAAAATTATTCTTATTGAATTTTATATTCAAATTCAACATAATACTAATCAAGTTAATTGAATTAGAAATTATTTGCAACTGTATCGAGTTCGTCTAGTTCTATGAGTAGTCAATGTAAAAACATTTCTTTCATTTTAGAAGTATATTTTCAGAATGTACTACTAATGTAAAATCATTTCTTCCATTTTAGAAGTATATTTTCAGAATGTATGACTAATGTAAAATCATTGTTTGATGAAAAATACATTTTTACCAATTTTATTTCTAGTTCAAAATCATCGTCATATTTATAACACTTATGACTACACTCTTATTAAGTTCAGTCTTTGTTTATTTATAACACTTATGACTACACTCTTTAATAGATTCTATATTTCCTTGTTAAGTAAATAGTCCCTTATTTGTAACTAGCAACTTAGTCTATTTCATTATTTGTAAACAGCACTTTCAGCTGTAATTGCATAGCACTTTACCTTTACTCACTTTACCAAATATTGTAACCCTAGGTATATAAGGACCCTTAGAGTCCCATGTACAGAACACTATTCACTTTCAATATTCACGCATTTTTTCTTTCTTCACTGTTCTCTCTCTCTATGCTCTGTGTTCTAAGTTCAATATGGTATCAGTTTCCATTGATCGATCCTGATTTC